TTCTTCTGCATGAGGAAAGGAAAGATAAGAGTGAGAAGGACTTTCTCTTGGGGCTTGGGTGCCAGGTCAGCTGCAGTTTTAGAGTAGCAAGCAAATTCCTAAGGTTTCCAACTCCAGGCCCTGGCTCCTGGATGACAATCGTGGACCTGCCCTGGGCCGGGGTGTGGCTCACTGCCCTGAAGGGAAGGGCATCATAAGCCTGACTGAATTCATCACCTGCTCTCTGAAGAGCTCTTGGACGTTGGGCCAGGCAGTGGTCACTGTGGGACTCAGGCGAGACCCAGCATTGTACTGATTTCAGGTCTTACCCGGTATAGTCCTGGTGGTGGTGGCCAGAGGGGTGCTTGTGTAATCCTTCCCCAAGTTCCAGGCAGCTCAGCACAAAGAGAGAGACTCCAGTATTCTGGAGGAAAATAAGGGAAGAGAACAACAGTCTCTGCCTGGTAATCCGAGAAATTTTCTTGGATCTTACCCAGGTCCACCAAAGTAGTACCTCTTCAAGTCTGAAAGAGCTATAATGTTACTGGGCTCGCAGTGCCCACTAATGAATATATGGCCTCAGTGACCAATAATTTAGATCACAACACTCAATTCCTTTTGAAAACTCAGAAAGCCTTCCCAAGAAGTATAGATACAAACAAACTCACACTGGAAAGACCTACAATACTTAACTTTTAATGCCCAGACGTCAACAAACATCACAAGCATTAAGACCATCCAAGAAAACATGACTTCACCAAACAAACTAAATAAAGTACAATTACCAATCTCAAAGTTACAGAGATAGGTGACCTTTCAGATGGAAAATTCAAACTAGCTGTTTTGCAGAAGCTCAATGAAACCACAAAAGACATAGAATAAGCAAATCTATGCTGAGCAAAAAGAACAAAACTGAAAGAATCACATTATCTGACCTCAAATTATATTACAGAGCTCTAGTAACCAAAACAGCATAGTTCTGGGATAAAAACAGACATGTAGAAGAATGGAACAGAATAAGGAACCCAGAGATAAATCTGTACATTAACAGTGAACTCATTTTCAACAAAGGTGCCAAGAACATTGGGGAAAGAACAGTCTCTTCAATAAATGGTGCCAGGAAAACTGCATTTCCATATGCAGAAGAATGAAGCTAGATCCCTCTTTCTCACCATATACAAAAATCAAATCAAAATGGATTAAAGATTAAATCTAAGACCTCAAACTATGAAACTACTAAACAAAAACATTGAGGAAACTCTCCGGGACATTGGTCTGGGCAAAGATTTATCAAGTAATACCCCAAAGGCACAGGCAACCAAACCAAAAATGCACAAATGGGATCACATTAAGTCAAAAAGCTTCTGCACAGCAAAGGAAACAATCAACAATGTGAAGAGAAACCCCACAAATGGGGAGAAAATACTTGCAAACTATCCATCTGACAAGGAATTAATAACCAGAATATATAAGGAGCTTAAACAATTAAATAGGAAAAAAATCTAATAATCTGATTTTAAAATGGGCAAAAGATCTGAATAGACATTTCTCAAAAGAAGATATACAAATAACAGACATATAAAAAGGTGGTCATCATCATCGATGATCAGAGAAATGCAAATCAAGACTACAATGAGATGTCATCTCACCTTAGTAAAAAATGGCTTATATACAAAAAAAGCAGGCAATAACAAATGCTGGTGAGGAGGTGGAGGAAAGAGAACCCTCACGCACTGTTGAAGGGAATGTAAATTAGTACAACCACTATGGAGAACAGCATGGAGATTCCTCAAAAAACTAAAAATAGAACTACCATACAATCCAGCAATCCACTGCTAGGTATATTGCCAAAAGAAAGGACATCAGTATGTCAAAGCAATATCTGAACTCCTATGTTTACTGTAGCACTAGTCATGATAGCCAAGATTTGGAAGCAACCTAAGTGTCCATCAACAGATGAATGGATAAAGAAAATGTGGTACATGCAAACCACGGAGTACTATTCAGCCATATAAAAGAATGAGATCCTGTCATTTGCAGCAACATGGATGGAACTGGAGTCATTATATTAAGTGAAATAAGCTAGGCACAGAAAGACAAACATCGCACATTCTCACTTATTTGTGGAAGCTAAAAATTAAGACAATTGAACTAATGGAGATAGACAGTAGAAGGACGGTTACCAGAGGCTGGGAAAGATGGGGTAGGGGAAGGTGGGGATGGCTAATAGGTACAAAAATATAGTTAGGTAGAATGACTAAGATCTAGTACTTATAGCACATCAGAGTGACTACAGTCAACAATAATGTATTGTACATTTAAAAATAATTAAAAGTATAATTGGATTGTTTATAACACAGAAAAATTATAAATGCTTGAGGTGATATATTCTACAAATTTTTCCTAAATTAAGTCCACAGATGATGTGACTCCAGAGCATTTATATAAGACCACTACCTGCCCCAAATGAATGATAGCTGACGGGAGATGGGGGCAGACACCTTGTTCTTGCTTTTAGCCATATCTAGTCCCCACGTGACTTACTCTAGGTTATAAAGGGTGACCACTGAATCAGGAAACACAAATACAGAATAAATGGTTTATGGGAAACTCATTATAATATACATTAAAATAATAATATCTGTATTTCCAAATGCTATGGTCACCCTGTACATAAAACAGTATGAACAATTATAGTCCCTATGCTCTGAGAGTCAATAAACTAAAATAAATAAATAATTGTTGCAGAGAAAAGCACAAAATTGGCAAGAAAATTTAGCCAAAATAACTATGTCAAACTCATAGCTAAAAATTCAAAAGAAAAATGTATGTGTCAGCAAATATGTCCAGTTTTTCTTTAACTGGTAAGAAAGGAGATATTGTCATGACACACAATTTTGTCTCAGTTTCTATCCTTAAAATTGTTACTTTACACTTACACACCCAACCAATCAAGAAATTAGAAATATACGTTTGAATTATTTACCCACCACTGAGTAGATGTTTGAACAAAGCCTTTTTCTTTTCTTTTCAATTTTTAATTGACAAATAACAATTATATATGCATTTATTGTGTACAACATATTTTGAAATATGTATATATGGTGGATTGGCTAAATTGAGCTAATGAACATATGCATTATCTCACACAGTTATCATATTTGGGGTGAGAACACATAAAACCTACTCCCTTAGCATTTTTCAATACAATAAATCATACAAAACCTTTCTTTACAAACTCCAAGCCCATGCCTAAAAAGTAAAAGTTGGAAAAACTTTCTACCTGTTAGTTTTAGCAAACTTTACCTTCTCCTTGGAAGAAAAGCAAATATATGTTAACTGGAAGGTTGATAGGAAAACCTGCTGATTTCCAGGCAAACTGGGTGTGTTGGGTTAGAAAAAAGAATGTTCTCATTGATTTAGATTGGACACCTGGTAAGCCCTTTAGAAGACTCTGTACCTGTCTCAGAAAAGAGCAATATAGGCCCAAAATGACCAACCAGATAGACAGAATCATGTTCATTCCATTTTCTGCCAAGAGTTTTGTAAAAACTACAGGCATAAAAAATTAAAGGTTTTATTGCAGGACAGATGGGCATGCATGCTGGGAAGCCATATAGCTGGCCCACACAAAACGGATGAACAATCCCTGATTTTCATAACACTTCACTTGAAGACACAGCATATTTCCTGCCTGAGCAAAGAAGCCAACGGAATAGGAAAGACTCCTTTCTAATATTTTTCCAGATAGTTAAAAGTGATTGTCTAGAGAATTTCCATTTGCAGTTAGCTTGGCATGCCTTTTACCAGAATTCATTATTCCACTCAGCTTTAGAAGCCTGGGGGAGGTGGGGAAGAAGGGTTGTGTCCACATAGTCTTGATCTCTACTATCTGTTAATCCTATCTAACTAGGGCAGTCCCTGAGTTACATGATTTCTTCTCTGGGGCTATTTATATTTAACACAAGATTCAAGAAATGGTCTCCAAACCCTAGTCTGGGAAACATTAAAAAGACAGATTCTTTTATACAATTTAGCAAGTTTGGATGGGAGGAGGTGTTGTTAGAAAACTGTATTTTCTCCAGTATTCCCAATAAACAGACTCCCATTTGGTAATCACTACTTACAAGATCAAAAAGTATTAGAACTCAGACTAATAAATCGCTAAAGTAGAATTTAATGCATGAGCAATGGAAATAAACATTTTGGAAGGGAAATCATACACCAGCAGCTGCCTATTAACCTTTGCATAAATTTAACTGGGTTGAGCGGTTTTAAGTTTTCATCTAGTCAATATCTGAATACAGAAAGTTTAGACTAAATGGCTCCCAACTTCACTTCAAGAACTGTATGCAGTGATGAGCTTGTAAATTAACCACATCTCCAGGAAAAGATGTATGCATATATATCTCTCATATACATATATATATACACATGCACACATATGTTTATTAGAAATTCTGCTGATGTAAAACATGTAACCTACAATTCACAAAATAATAAATATATAATATTCTTTATTGTAAACTTCATATACATTTAACTTCAGTGTGACTTGCTATTTCTTAAAAATCCACTATCAGTTTTTATAATTATATGCCAACAATAGTATCACAAAATCAGACTATGAATATATGCTTGATTACTATCCAATTCAGCACAGAAATCACTCACATCATTAAGAAATGAGTGTAGTTATGACAAAATGTTGGTTGATAATTTTGTTTACATTAAGGAATAAGATGAAAGTGAAATAAGCCATGTGCTGGAAATTCACTCATTCGTCAATAAAGTTGAGTGACTTCTTTGCTAAATTAGATAACAGTTTGTAAATACTGGCAGAAATGTCTTCATGTTTTTTATGCTATTCACAATATCATAGCCACAGACAGGACACACTTTAAGTTTATTCAGCATTTAACATTTTCTCCATCACTTCTAAAATGTAGGCAATCAACAAAACGTTAAATCAAGCCCTGATTTGCACCATTTGCTGATTGCTGTAGTATAAAGACTCCCACCTGGTCGATTTTAAGTTACCAACATGAAGTCTCTGAGGGCCAAGTTTGGAAGAGATGCAAAGAAGTGTCTCTTTCACCAGATAATTGATATATAACCTGAAGAGCAGAGATAATAGTTAAAAGTGATAAAAGAATTAGGAAGTAATAAATTTTGAATATTGAGTTATTTTATATTAATATAAATTAATTGTGTTTATATAATTTAATTTTTAATAATGATTGTGTTGGCCAAGGGTGGTGGCTCACGCCTGTAATCCCAGCACTTTGGGAGGCTGAGGCAGGCAGATCACCAGAGGTCAGGAATTCGAGATCAGTCTGACCAACATGGAGAAACACCGTCTCTACTAAAAATATAAAATTAGCCGGGCGTGGTGGCGTGTGCCTGTAATCCCAGCTACTCAGGAGGCTGAGGCAGGAGAATCGCTTGAACCCAGGAGGCAGAGGTTACTATGAACTGAGATCACACCGTGGCACTCCAGCCTGGGCAACAAGAGGGAAACTCCATTTCAAAAAAAAAAAAAAATATATATATATATATATATAATGATTGTGTTTAACAACTACTTCACAAAATTTCTGAAAATTTTACAGTTGACTCTCTCAAGCCAGTTAGCACCACTTAAAGCCATTGTTACATGTTTGCTTGCAAATATTCAGATGGGAAGAGGCAAGGCAAAATAGATAAGTTAGCCAATGCTATGGGTGGAGGTTAGGAGAGCAGGAGTATGTGGAATAAAAATGTAGAAAAAAATGTTCTTACCTGTTTGCAACCTTAACTCCCAGAGATTACCATTTCAATGTTGTAATAGGAACTCACCAGCAGGATTCTCCACAGAAGAATGGATATCAACCAATGGATAGTGGACCTCCGTCTCTGGCCATGGCACCATCTCTCAAAGCAATGGTCCAGTGGTTTTCAATCCTGGTGATCATCAGAATCACCTATGTTGTTGTTGTTGTTGTTGTTGTTGTTGTTGTTGTTGCTGCTGTTGTTTTTAATGCAGGCATCAGGGTCACCTAAACCAGAATTTCCTAAGGTAAGTCCACTTTCCAATCTACTTTGAAATTTTAACCCAGAATGTTCACTGTTAATGGCATCTACTTGGCTTAAGTTCATATTAGTGAGAGTCAATTTCTAAAAGTTCACCCTGAAACTAGGTAACTACTCACATCAATTTCAACAAGTATATAAAATAATTAATTTCTGTGTTTAAATGGGAAATTATATGCAGCGTGTTCTTTTTAGAATCAGCTATAATAAAATGAGACATTTCATTTATAAAATTTCTTAACAATGTTTTCTTCTAATAACCAGCCATAAATTCCCCATGAGTGAAAAGTTTATGTTCACAGTATTATGTTGCCTTTCTGTATTTTCAAAATTGAAAGATGAAGAAGAAACAAACTTTGATCTGACTGACATTATGATGACAGGAACAGAGAGAGACATTTTTAGGACATATTTTCAAAACTGTGCACATGAAATGACATTTCAAGTTTGGGAAATCATATTACTTTAAATGGGATTTACATGGTTACATTCCAAACTACTTTGAAATGTTAACCTAGAATGTTCACTTTTGATGGTGTCTATTTGATTTAAGCTCATGCTGGATAACTTAAAAGTTGCCATTTCCACACTCAAGTATTTCAAAATTTTGAAATAACCATCTAACATTTGTAAGGTTCTAATCAACTTTAACAAAAAATAATTAGCAAACTAGGTAAAAATTATTTTAAAAGCAAAATTCAAAACTATTTCCAAAAATGTTTATATAATCAAAACGGTGTAAAAACAATATTTAAAAGGATTGCAATTCTGAACGTGAATTTAGAAATATTGGTAATCACCTTATGTTCTAATGCTTAGCATTAGAACAAAAGCATCATATCAGGCCATTTATTTTCACTGCCTAAATTGTTAACTTCGAATGTGGTCACATTTTAACCATTTTCCTAGATGACGCTGTCTTTGGAGGTCAGCATTCTCATAACATATAAGCAGTTTTGCCAAAACCCCTCCTGAGTCTCTATTTTTTCCATTTACATTTGTCTTCTCCTCCACACCTCACAATGGTAGTGTCAGTATTGGTAACAGTGTTCCCAAAAGCATGAATCATTTTGCATGATAATCACTTAAAGTTGGTAGTACAACTGCAAGCCAATCTATGGGCCAGTTTAGGGTTCAATTATCCATGTGCCCCTAAATTAACACCAAATTTTACAGATTAATTCACCGTCAGGGTATAGGTAGAAAACTGTGAGTACAAACCATGAAATGTCTCTATCCACAGTGCTAGCTTTCCAATTCATTTCATCTTTGTTCATTTTTTTTCCGTGTTTATTGCTGACAAACTCTGCTAGTGTATATATTAGTCAGATACCACCTAATGTTCTTTGGCACTTATTGCATTTCCCATTAAGCTAAAATCCTAAAATAGCTTTTTAAATACTGAATTTGTATCTCTGCCAATATGAAATTGTGAAAGCTTCCTTATCCATTTATTGCATCAAATACTTGATTTCCCCAGATGCTAAATCATTAATCTTGTCTGGATGTATTTCAAGACCAAAGCTCCCATTTTAATAAATTTACATGACAACCAACAATAAATCTTCAGAGGCCCGTCTTTCTGGCTCATGACCTGTCTAAATCCTCTACCTGAAGCTGATACCTACACTACTTATAGATTTGGAAACAAAGAACATATTTAGGAGATTGCACTTAGACAGAGGCAGCAAGAAATCTTCCTTTTATGCATTTTTCTCCTTTCCAAGCACACGCAATAAATTTATACCTCTGCAGGTTAACAGAAAACATGGATGTTATTATACATACTGTTTTGTTCCCTCTGGCTGTCTTCAAAATATCTAAGACCAGGGCCTCAAAAAATTTTCTGTAACAGAACTCTGCTGCCACCAACTGAACACACTCACCCAATGCAAGTAGGTTTTGTTTTTTGGTTGGGTTTTTTTTTTTTCACAAATTAGTGCTGAAAAAGCAGATGAAGGGAAGACACATATTCTCTTTGCCCACATCCCAAACCCTAGTCATAACTCCATTTTTAATCAGTAATACCATGTGAGCATTGAAAGAGGGCTGAGAATTCATATCTTGACATTAGCAATGGCAGCCCTCCCTTTGCAACTCTAAACCACTTTATGTTAATAGAAAACTCCTCCTTTATTTGTAAGCAAAGGGCACCTGTTTTATTCGTACGAACAAGCATAAATCAAAGACTTTGTGCCAGGAGTGGCAGGTCATGAAATGGTAATGTTGATCTGGCCGTTGAGCTGGACTAAGTGGAAGTCTTTGAATCAATAATGGTTACCAGGTCAGAAAAGCAAACTCCTCTAATCTCATTCTCACTGGTGAACTCTTGTAAAAAAATTCAACGTAGTCTTCACAGGCGGCCCTAATTTCTTGTTCCCAAGCCAAATCCACTTTGATCTTTTAAAGGGGTAAGAGACTATTTAGTCAGTTTGTCTTAGACCTTTCCAACACATTAGAATCACCTAGTAAAATACAAACTTCAAGGCCCCTCCTCAGAACTCCCAGTTAGCGCCTCTCAAAAGGGAATTTGGGCAACAGCGTATTTTTTAGTCCACAGGAAATCCTGAAATACAGCCAGAGTTGAAGAGCACTAGCTTAGGCCTATTCTCTCATTTCCTAAATGGGGGAACAGGTTTGGAAGAGTAAAAACAATCAACAAGAATGTATGCACACACCCTTAAGGAAAACGTTGAGGAGGCCTAGAACATTGGGTTTGGAGAGTGTGATGCCTGGCTTCACTAAGGAGGCTTATCCAAAAGGAAGCACATCCTAGCATGTTGATCTTTGCCATATTCCTTTGTTCTCTTGAACAATTCAACATAAGCAGGATAAAAACGCTTTAACAGTCAAAAAAAAAAACACAGCCTTTGGAAGACAATAAGAAAAATAACTTCACTTTATTTTCATTTCATACCTGTCCCATTTAGCTTGAAATTTTTGCCCTCTTGAGCCTTATGAGTACTGAAAATATATTTACTGTGAGCCAAATATGACCTAATTTGTTAATTACCATGACCCTGATATTTTCCTTTAACATAGACAGCCCAAATATGGAATGTTTTAAGTAAAATTAATATATATTTGAAGTTTTTTATTTATTCGACTTGTTTATAGTATGTAGAAGGAAACAATTTAACATATGGTATGCTGATATTTTTATCTACAGTTTCCTAATTTTCTTACCTCCGTCTCTGGAAGAATCATTTTAGATTACTTCTAGTGCCTTATGAAAAAACCCACCATCACTACCCAAGAAAGCAAATTAATGCTTTATGTTTCTCCTACTTCTTGGACCTTCCCAACTCTACTAGCCCCTGGCCCATTCAAACATAGCCCTAGCTCACCCAGCAGTAATTTTGCTGCAAGTCAAACCCTGATCCGTCTGCCTTTTTGCTTAGTAGTGTCTTTAACCCGCTCTCCTAGTGAGCACTCAAGAATCTTTGACATTAAATGGGTATTGCACCCCCACCTGATTGAAATGGCTTTGACCTTGACAATAAAAAGCTGATTTCACCCAATAGGGCTTCCTAATTTTGGAAATTCAATTCACACTGACTTATCAAGGGTGAGGGGGAAGAGAAGCTAGCAAGACAGAGGTTGGTGGTGGAAGTAACTTGAGTCCAAGACAGAGAGTTATAGCTCTATACATGGCAAGACACCCACTAGAAACCTGTTGAGGTGAAGAAATGGTACACCTTCTGGGAGTAGTTAGCCCAAAGTAATAAAGTGGTCAGGCAAACAAGTTTCTTTCAGCTACAAAGCGTCAGTAGTTGGAGCAGCATAGGGGCACAAGCAAGACTGCTTTGGTACCCACGTGGGAAAGTGTAAAGCTAAAAACGAGAGCATGTTTTCTTCCTGCTTGTTAACAATACAGAATGGAATTGGGAATTCTGAGGACACTGGAGAAAACAAATATGATTTTGACCCTTAAAGGACTTCAGAATATCAATGAAAGACAGGGAAATCCAATGAATATGGTTACTCAAATGCCAGAGGGCAGATTACAAGAAAGAGGTCAAATCAAAAAAAAAAAAAAAGAAGAAGAAGAAGAAAGAAAGAAAGAGAGAGAGAAAGAAAGAAGAAAGGGAAGGAAGAAGGAAGGAAGGAAGGAAGGAAGGAAGGAAGGAAGGAAGGAAGGAAGGAAGGAAAGAAAGAAAGAAAGAAAGAAAGAAAGAAAGAAAGAAAGAAAGAAAGAAAGAAAGAAAGAAAGAGAAAGAAAGAAAGAAAAGAAAGAGAGAGAGAGAAAGAGAAGGAAGGAAGGAAAGAAAGAGAAAGAAAGAAAGAAAGAAAGAAAGAAAGAAAGAAAGAAAGAAAGAAAGAAAGAAAGAAAGAAAGAAAGAAAGAGAAAGAAAGAAAAAGAGAGAAAGAAGGAAGGAAGGGAAGAAGGAAGGAAGGAAGGAGAAAGAAAAGAAAGAAAAAGAAAAAGAAAGAAAGAAAGGAAGGAAGGAAGGAAGGAAGGAAGGAAGGAAGGAAGGAAGGAAGGAAGAAAGAAAGAAAGAAAAAGAAAAAATATTGGGGGTTATGCTGTCTATGCTGTCATTGGAAGAAGTATATGCTAAGGAGTATACACAAAATACTTCTAGAAGTTTCCAATAAATAACTTAGGATCCATTATATCGGGGGATAAAGGTGCTGAAATCACAGAAGGAACAGCTATTGACCACCTCCTAGGTTTCACGTGCTAGTGATGGAAATTAGCTGGCTCTATCCCCAAAATGTTCGCTTCCCCACCTCCCACCTGTCCAGATATTGCATGTCTTGGAAATAACGATATGACTTCTCCTCAGTCCTGATGTATTCTTATTATCCCAAATGAGAAATTCCCACAAGAAGTGGCTAGTTGGGGAATGGAGTAGTAGGCAATATCTTGGCTAATTATTGTCATAAAAATAAATAATATTAAACCTAAATGTATTACATTTGTCAGACATTATCCTCTAATTAAATAAACACAACCAA